CTAGCAGTACGGCCAGGAGCCCCTAGTAGCGTCCTTGCTCCTAGTAGTAAGGCCAGGAGCCCTTGTAGCGTCCTTGCTCCTAGTAGTAAGGCCAGGAGCCCCTGGTAGCGTCCTTGCTCCTAGTAGTAAGGCCAGGAGCCCCTGGTAGCGTCCTTGCTCCTAGTAGTAAGGCCAGGAGCCCCTGGTAGCGTCCTTGCTCTCCTAGTAGTAAGGCCAGGAGTTCCTGGTAGCGTCCTTGCTCCTAGTAGTGTTTGACGCACAGTTGAAACGTTCCAATTGAACCAGCTCAATTCCTCGGGCACGGAGGTCGTCGCAGCAGACATGGACTCCACCTGTGGGGTCGTCGCTTGCTGTTTGGGCGACAGGGTCTCTGAAAGGGTCGGACCTTGCTATCTGCGTGCTCGTACTTCTTGCCAAAGGCCACGGTGGCCTCTCATAGCAACAAACGTTGAATGCTGAAATACTGTCACATGTCACTGCTTGCACCAACACTGACACAAGTAATATTGCTTTTACAAATGCTTTCAAACTGCCTCTTCGACAGCTTGTGCTGCCATCCGGCGGAACTCCTCATCCTCCTAGTGCTTACAAAAGGCGGGTTTCATTGGAAGCTCTTCTTCTCAATATGCTAAAAATTAATCAAACCGAAATGGTCCGAGCAGTCGCAAACCGATCATCTAAGCAATAAGCTGAAGGTCTCATTTATGTCAAAGCCACAAACTTTGCTGCCACTTGAAGGAGGCGGATGCAATCAGTGAGCTTGATGCAATCAGCCAGCACGCCTGAATGTTTTTCATTTCCTGCTTGTACGCCTCCTCAGCCTTTCTCTTCCGTTCTTTGGCCTAGGAAAGCTAGGAAAGAGTCACGCTCTTGCGAAAGGAAGCAAAGGCAAAGGAGGCAAAGGTAGCCTTTGGGTAGTGTTTTGTCCAGCAAGCACGGGGCACACGGTCGCGACAACCAGATTTTGAAGCTCACAGCTCAACCGCAAGAGGAAACCGGCGAGCCTCTGCCATCTCCTTTTCCATAGCTTCCATATCTTTTCTGGAGGCCTCTGCTGCCTTCGCCTGGAATTTCAACTACAGTGTTGTGCGACCCATGGTTCTGAAGCTCTGACTGTGCCTCCAGCTCCGTGATGGCTTCTTCCGCCTTCTTAACTTCTTTCAAAGTAGCATCCATCTTCTCCTGTGCCTGGAAGCATATGGAAGCCAAACAGAATATGTGTCCGGCCTTCTCAATCAATCTCGTTGCATCTTCTCGGAAAGAGTGATACTGTGTCTTGCTTTGAATCAATCACGCCTTCTTCATCATAGCATGCGTGAAAGGCGGGATTATATCTCGAGGATGGTTGACAAAAGCCTGGACATGCTGACATGCATTGTACAAAATGTTGAAGTACATGTATAAATCTGTAGCCATGACAACACAGCTTCTCTCCAACAAGCAAAGAGCCTTTAAGATATTCTGCCTGCTATTGTGGCGTCGCAGCCTCAAACAAGGACATGATAACATCAAAGACTCTACTTTGCGTTTATTGTAACAAAAATGGATCAAGTCGAAGAATTATCGAAGCCGTCGAATTGTCGGTAGAATATTGCGACAATGCTTGAAGCAAGACTCACTTCAACCTCTGGCCTTGTCAGTGGCTCTCCATCTGCCGGGTCAGGGTTGTCCACAAACAGTATCCTTCACAGGAACAAAGCCATGTGTCTGTGTCTTACGGGTCTTTCTCCCAGTCCTGTTTTCGTTGTTCCCCACCTGAGTTGCGCACATTGTTTCCCACTCTGACATGGAAACCCGGTCCACTCAACGACAGCGTGCTGGCAAGATACCAGAGAATAGATATGCCGGAAGCGCCAATTCAGCTCACATTGCCGCTCAATCCATGCTGCAGCCTGCCGGCTGCGAGGACAAGTGCATGCCCAGGAATGTGTCCTGTTGCCCATTTCGTGGGGAGTTCAAGATGCTTGCTTGGTGTGCTGAAAAGTCACTGTAGTCAAAGAAATTCATCTAACATATTCGTCTTGGCTTGATGGATGTCCCACAAATGTCCAGCCTCCTCCCTTTGCGTCCTTAGAGCATTGGCCATTCGGTCTGGTGCACTCTCAGCAACAATCCCATTTTGTTTGGCCAGCTGGAAACCCTGAGTCTCTGGCACATATCTGCTGGCATAAGTTACAACAATGTAGAGGTTCAACAAACATTCTGTACCCCAAAGGTACTCGGTCGCGTAGATCAACCTGTCACAAGCCATTCCTAGGAGATGTGCATGGCTAGTCACAATTTGTTGGCTTCATGGTTGCAAGTCGTGATGGCCCAATTCCATTCCTTTCTTGTGGTCTTGTACAACGGTGGGAATAACCAGTGCCTGGCAATCACATCATCTGTGATGCGACCACTGCGCATCACGAAGACCATAGCATCCACACCATTTGGAGCTGATAACGCCTGAGCTGCGCTGGCAAAGCGTCGCTCAGCTCAAGTAAAACCTTCTGTTGTGCTTTAGCTTTGACTGTGCCAAGCAAGAAGTGCTGGTTTCCTCATCTGATTCGAGATTATCCATTATCAGCAGCCCTGTGATTAAAGTCATGGCCTGCTATGATAGTAAAGAATCCAGCTTGGGCTGGCCGAGACACGGAATCTCTGATGTTTGCCACAACCTTGTCCTGTCGAGGCTGCAACCTGCGTTCCTGAAGCCTTGTCCCACACAGTGCCCAACAAGTGTCCTGGTCCAGCTCGGTATCCCCGAGGCCAATGGTGTCCAACCTTAGTCACCCTGCGTGCAGAAGTGAGTATCATAGGCTGCGATATGCATGTTTCTGAGAGAACGGGATTCTTTTGTTGCAGGTCTTCCCAGCCTTCGTCCAAAAACAAGAACATTGCTTACTATTGACATGTCCTCATGTTCTCTACTAAAATAAGTCAGCTGAGAGGCAGAACCAGTGATCGATCCGGTGCCTCGTACTTGAGCACCGACTGGTTATTCGTCACAGAAGCCTCAGCTGCGTTGCCGACGGCGTCGATTCGGCTGAATCCAAAGCCGATGGCTGCAACAATCGGACCACAGTCATGCAGCCGTATCATCACCTGAGACGAAGTGATCGTAGCCTGCCAGAAGGTTCCCGAGGGCACTCTTTCCAGATCCGGTCATGCCAAACATCATTACCTCAGCACCAAATCTTAAGGGAACAGGTTGACTAGTCCGCGAGCACGACTCACGGGGCATGTTGAACTTTTTCGGGAAAGTCTCAGCTTGAACCTTGCTAAGAAAGCGATGATGTATCGCCCCGACATGGGTGGAGGCCATTGCTACTAGGGTGGAGGCCATCGCTAGTAGGTTGGAGGTCATCGCTGGGTGATTGTTGCAGTTTGGTTCAGACCAGGCCGCGGTGAAGCGTCCACCCGGCGGCAGCCGTGGCTCTTGACTGCCCACAGACATAGCACTCAGGGTGCCACTGAGGGCTGCCGCAGACTCCGCGCCTTGTGACTTGAGCGACTCGAGTCTTTTGATGTCTTTTGTAGTTCCAAAACAAAGAGTACAGTGAGATGTAAGACGTTCAACAGCGCTTCATCTTTGCTTATGAAGGCACCCAGCAGCTCCAGCTGCTCTTTCATACTGCAGCATGCTATCCCCATTGCTAAGGAAACAGCAAGGTTGACAATGATCCAATGGAAGAAACACCAGCGGTCTGCGTTTGCATCTCTTGCACGTTGCCACTCTACTACAACTACAGTGAGGGATGCCTGTTCACATTGCCTTCCGAAAGGGTCCAAGGACGGTCAAGGACGGTTGTTCCTGTTCTGTCCGGGCAAAGAAGTTTCTGGATTCATACGATGTTCTCGGTGTTCCCATGGTTCCCATGTTCATCCTGGCATGTTGAAACTGAGATCCCATATGCCACGGCACACAAACCAGTCCTTGCAGTCAAGTCTGTGTCCAATGTTTCTGAGTTTCACGAAAAGCAACATACTGCTAATTCCTATGCTTTTTGGAAATTGGCACAACATGCTCTTCAACCTCCACGTAGTGCTCTGTGAGCATTGCTGCATCCCGCGGGCGATGAGGTAGGTCGGTCCTTTCGGTATCGAGCGCTCGAAAGCACCCGCTAATAGGGCATCTCAAATACTGTGTTCCTTTCTTCTACTATCTTTCTCTTTGTTTCTTTCCTGATTCTTATTTCTTATGCCTTCCGCAGTTAACGACAAATATTGCTGCTCTTCTTGAGGTGCTGGCGCTCTGTGACACAAATTGCCAGCAACCATCTGGACCTACAAATCACAAAAACGAATCTTTTTCGAGCCAAGCAAAGGGAGGTCTATCTTGAGGTCCTCCGACGTCGTCGCAGACTAAAAAAGCCGAACCGATGCTGTAGAGATATGATATTTCAGCTATAAATCAATCCAAATCCTTGTGTTTTACAGTGTTCTCTTACAAAAGCCTCTCCAGATTGTGCTACTTAAAATGCAGCTGAGATCAAAGAAATCCACCCTATATTCCTGATAATAGGGGATTGCAAAAAGATGTAGTAAAAAAGGGCTCAGCCCAAGGGCCCAGGAGTGTCTCGTTTTTGCTTTTAGGCCTTGGCAGGCCACTTTAGTGTGTATGTCGCATTTAATAACAGTGCAAAACGAGGTGGTGTTGGCTGAATCTCAGCTGCCATTGCTTCTTCTGTTCCTGCAAAAGAAGTTCCTGTTCGAAAGCATTCCCTCATATAAAACCAATGCCATTATTGTTTAAACCTCTCCACTGTACAAGGATTCTACTATTATTCAAAACCCTCCTGGGTTATGCAAAATATGTTGCTTCGATAAATGTCCTTCACAACTTTTTACTAAACCAACAAGTGTCACCATGCTCAAAAATTGTCCTTTCCCAAGTCTATTCCTTTCCCAAATTCCTTCCCTGGGAAGTGCCCTGTAGCTAAAGGCACCTCCTTTAAGAAGCCTACTCCTTTGTGCCTGCATCATCCTCTATTGAAAACACTATTGTCCTTTGTAAGGGGATCATCCTTGGTGAAATTTAACCTTATCACAGGGCTTTTCCTTTTGAACTGATCGCTATTTGTGCATAAAATCATTGTTATTGGAGCTCAATTTGCTGCGACATGATATTGAAACGTTGCACAAACAGTATTAACAGTGCTTTGTCAAAGTTACTTTAACAAATGTGCTTTTTCTCAAGCACACCGCGTCCACTCTTTCTCACAAATCCGTCAACTCAGTGTGCTAAATAAAAAATCAAAACCTTGCACAAACAGGTTGACCTCATCATCTGCGTTCTGATCAGGCCGATGAAGCTCCAAGTCCTGTCAACTCTCTGAAGTCTCAAGTCCTGTCTACAAGTCAACTGGTACAACACACCAGCCCAGATTTTGATGCCTTTGTAGTTCCGCCCATCTTAGATGCTCCATCCATCCATCCATCCATCCATCCAACCAACCAACCAACCAAGTAACCAAGCCACCCAGCTGACATGGACGCAATGGAGTATGGCATGAGTGTGTGAGTGCCGCGCAAAGCATCCATGCATGATCATTAGCTACTAGTAGTAATGCCCTTCTTACTAATGTATGCGAGACTTGACTGAAATATCTCGTTCAAAACATTATGCGCGTCAGCAAAGGGGCTGGTGCAGCACTGTGCTGGTGATTGTGGTTGCTGCTACAAAAGACTGTCTCCTTGCTGACCTTGCAACAGGCCACTTCTTTCTTTGAAGCATCAAATTTCTGCCTTTCTAGCTTCTGCAGCACTTAAACTGAAAATTTTGAATCCGTGACTTGAGAAGACAACGTCTTTGTATGGCAATACTTACGCAAATGAGATCTTGAACACTTGGGCAAAGGGAACCACGTAACATCCACTCGCAAGCACAGCAGTCAGATCTCTTGGAACAGAAAACGACTTTGGTTTGCTTCTGGCTCACTTGAATGAGAAGCTGCGTCCTTTTCGAGGCACCTACCTGCGTATCCTTGGATACATGTGAATAAGAATGCATGGAAGTAAGGAAGAGTAGAACGACAAAGCATGGACTTGAACGGATTGATAATGAAATCCATGAGTAAAAGGAGAAAAGAAGCAAATAAATAGGCAAAGAAAAAGAATAAACCACCTGGCCACACCAACCACTCATGATGCGTTTGTGCAATTCTGTCTCATTCTATGTGTATATATATATACTCGTAATGTATGTATCTCACTCCCTGTCAATCACTGCACCCTCACCAAAACCCACGCATCTCTGCGGGCCAAAAGCAATTCCCTAATAACCTATATATATATATATATACATGTTGAAAACAATAAGGCGTACTGGGGACGTCTTGAAATGTGTACACCAGAAGCGCTCGCTTACTTCCAATGGTAGGAAAAACTGGTTTCTCCGGTCGATCGCTAGGGTGTTTGCAGCCTCTCTCATACATAACAGCAAAGTGTCTTATGCTACACTGGGTCCTTTCACTGGAAGGAACATCGAGGGTCAAAATATAGTGGACTCGACACTGTGCAAGAACACTGTGAGGTCTTAGATGCCATTTACAGTGATTTCGATAAAAGGAAGAACGCTGCTTTCGGGCTTAAAAGGAAAATGCCTTGTGCACTGACAGGAGCCTCCAGGCGGCCGCCAGTCAATGGGGCAGTGCGCTGCAACAAGTCATACTGACGCTTTCGCCCCTGGACCTTCAAGGAATCACTGCATGTGATCAGGAGTTGACAGCTCTCAGAAACAAAAAGCAATCTGCGTTTGCAAACAAGTATAAGCCCTTTTCGCTATAATTAATCTGTTTGTTGTTGAGCTTTGCACTGTGCAAGGGGTTGGTGCACGATTGTTGTGAGCAAAATGAGCAAGCTGCCCCCTCAGCTTCAGTATTCGGCACTGGAGAAACTGCAAAAGAAAACAAAGAGCTGAAGAACTAAATCAAGAAATCTCTGCAACTCATTTTTTATCCCTCCCTCCCTCCCTCCCTCGCTCCCCTCTTTGGACTGGCTCAGATCTCAGCATGAAATCGCGCCAATCAATGACTTTGCTATCCAAGTTGTCACTCTCCTCGCAACCGGAGCAGGTTCGATGTCAATGCTTTAGCCTGATGCGTAGATTGCTTAATCCTCCCCTGTGTCAAATTCAATGTGTGGAACTCCTGACCAGGAAACTGTGACGCCCAGAGGAACTCGACAGCCTCGCAGCTTTCACTATCAGGCGTGTACTTTCCGTACTTACTTCAACATGCACTTCCAAATGATTGGGACTGATACACATCAAGAATGGCACTGTTCTCAGGATGCAAAGTTGCAGACATGTCCTTTGGACCTTACTCAGGTGCAGTCCAGATCCCCAAAATATTACGATGATTCTCGGAACATGTACTTCCTGGTTGGGTGGCAGTACCCTGAACCCATTGAATTTTGTTGAATCGTCCATAATAACCAATAACGTCATCTTGGTTGCCAACTCAGCAGCCGACAAATTGAAGAGTAATTACCCTAGACCGGTTCTGCTCTTATTATCAAGCACCCCGCTTGCCTGATGAGAGATATGGTTGCCTCAGCACAAATGTCATTGGCAGCAAACATCTTCAGTTGACCATGAACACAAATTGCAGCTGTGGTACAAGCGGTGGCGACAGCGTTGGCAAACTGATCCTTGCTGATGGCATAGTGCCGCTCTGGGTCAATTTCGCAAAACGCCTCGCATGCAAGCTGTTGAATTGCCAAGAAGGCAGCATTGCAACCCCTATAGTTCAAGCATATACTTCTTCCTCTGGCCTTCCCTAACGCTTGCCCGTTTGACAACAAGTTGTCGACCAGCTTCTTGGTGACAAAGCGCACATGACGCTCCTCAAGCCAAAACATGACACTTTATATATACAGTATGTATGTATATATATATATACATATATACCACTGTTTGCTGCCTCAACCCTCCCTCCTAAGTCCGCAGCTTTGCAAAAACATGAAGGTTCGTATTCTGTTGGACTATATGATATAAGCACAAAGTACGATGGCAATGTCTGACATCATACGCTACGAAATCAACACACAAAAATGACATGATGGTCCTTCCTCTTCAAGCACATTTCTCTCAGCCTCCCTTTATGTCAACCGAAACTGCTCCACTCCTGAGCCTCTTGTGGTGAATCGCCCACCGCCAGTCGTGGTCCATAGATGAGGTCTGCAAATTCCTCATAAGTGATGGCCTTGGAGGAGTTACTCCACTCTTCGACTCGAGCTGCGTCCAGCAACCGGGCAATTGTATTTTTTTTCATGCAGCTCGCCAAAGTTGTTAGTTGGTCACCAATGCAAATCCACCAAAGTAGCATCACAAAGAAGGCATACCTGGCATACCTCTTACTGAGCTCTTCACACCCTTCCGGTCCCTGTCCACTGCCTAGCTTGATGGCTGACTTTGCCGATCGGAAATTGAATATTTGGAAACATTTTTCTATATAAAAGGAGAATGAGCTCCATGTATATGATCGACCGAATAAACTTAGCATCACAAGACCATGAAACTCCCAACCACTTGCCTTGACCAAGATGTCGCACTCTTGATCATTGACTTTCAGACCCATCCTTGGGATGAGAAACGGAACCATCGCATCATAATCAGCAACGGATCAGCATCAACAGCATCAACATCGCCGCCATCTGTCAGGTCGCTGTCAAAAAGAACATGTGTTTCCTCCTGAAC